GCCGTGCAAAATTGCCCAATAGGCGATCAAAATAGGATTAGCCTCTCGGAATCAGCACAGAACTGCTGGATACCTTATCTGCGATCCTAAGCAGGGAGGATCAGGATCTATAAAGGATATTAGAGGAAGAGACACTCAAGATCCTACCCAATTAGATGCTCTTTTGTTTCTCTTATTCAATCGTCTATAAGTGTTTGAAGTCGAAGACAACCGACGAAACAATTTAGAAATCTAGGCGTATATATGTCCTATAAAGGACTACAAAGTGAATAGAATGGATTATATTTTTCATATCTTTATATGGATAGAACAATGCTCAAAAGAGTATGTAATATGCGTTTGTTATATTCATAGTTTTTGTGAGTGCACCGATATATCTTTCGATGAATTTGCTGAAAAATGGCACAGTCGTCTATCTCTATTGACACTGTAATCAAATAGGCTTTGTACAGTAATTACCATAATTTCGTTACGTAATCAGATATATTTTAGTAGTCAGTAATTAGGTTAGATTCTTTTATGTTTTTGGACAATTTCACCAGCTCTCACGGTATGTCTTTTACACAAGATTAATAGACTTGCTCGTTCTATTAGCTCGATGAAGTGAATAAGTAGATTCTGTAGACAGGTACTTTTCGAGAAGGGAAAGGGAAGAGGGAAGGGGGACAGGGGAAGATGAGAAGGGAGTCAGAGAAAGAGAAAGGGGGATAGGAAGAATGGATAGTGGAGAGAGAGTAGAGATGGAGGGAAGGGAGAGAAGGTTTGGAAGATGGGAGAATAGAAGAGGAAGGCAGAGAAAAGGGAAAGGATGATAGGGAGAATAGAGGGTGTAGAAAGAGAGGAAGTAAATGTGAAGGGAGAGGAAAGCGGGTTCGGAAGAAGGGATGGTGGAAGTGGGAGAGGGGAGAAGAGGAGAGAAAGGGATAGAAAAATTAAGAAAATTTTGAGAGGGACTTCAATGTGGCTTCAGAAATTGATGGAAATAGACACTGGAGAGTCGCCATAGTAATCTGAGGGGAATGTATTGATTGTAGAAGTCAGGAGAAAGAGCGAAATGAAGAAGAAAATAAAAAAAGGGGGAAACAAGAGATCAGATTAAGGCAGGAACCCCTTTTAATGAGAAAAGGAAGAGAATCTATTATAAACCGTGTAGAGAAGGGGTGGTGGTGGTAGGAGGTGTGGCTGGGGAGTTTTGCGAGGTGGGGTGGGGGTGGGGGTCAAGAGGACAGAGTTGTGGAACAGTAGGCAGTCAGGATGGGGGAGAGGGAGGAGAGATGAGGTAAGGGGGAGGAGGAGGAGGAGGAGGAAGAGGGGGAGGTTGTACGATCAATACACCAATGTCAAGTCATTACCTTGCTGGCCCTACCACTCCCTTCCGTACTCCCCTATACCCCCCCCTCCCCTATCCCGTCCCATCTTATCCCCTTCCTCCCCTCTTCCCCTCTTCCACTCCGCCTCGAAATTGGGCCGAGAGCTACAGGGGTGAATATCCAGGAGCTCCGTGGGTCAGGCCCTCTCGAGAGCCACAAAGAGTCAAATATTTGCTTTTCTCCCTTTTTCTTTTTCTTTTTTTGGGGGGGGGGAGGGGACGGGTGTCAGTCATGAATTTCCTTTAAGAGTAAGAGTGAGAGCCACCAAGTGTTTCTTTCTTTCGTCCTTTTTTTCCTTTTTTTATTTCTGCCTTGGTCCGGTTATTTTCTGTAAATAAATAAATTAAAATAGAAAGATAAATAAATCAGTAAATAAATAGATAAAAGAAAAGAAAAGAAAGAAAGAATGAAAGAAATACGATGGAGAATTCGCTTCATAAGACATTTCTCATTTGGCTTGTTTGTTTGTTTCGACTTCAGCCAGTTGAATGTTGAATGTCCCCAGTCAACAATAAATCTTATTTTGTATTTTATTATTACTTTTATCATTGTCATTACTATTCCCCTTGTTATTGTTACTATCATTATCATTACTATTATTATCATTATTTCTTATCATCATTAATATCATTATCATTATTGTTGCTATTATTATTATAATCACCATTATTTCATTACTATTTCTATTCATTCACCTCATTCGCCTCATTTGTTCATGTTGTGAAACGAGTAAATTCTCGTGTAGTGACGTCTGTTGTATGTCATGCAAATCGAAATACAAAAAAATAACGGTAGTCACCTTAAGATAAGATAAGGAATTTCTCTGCTTTTACTTTTTTCAACATAATTTGAAATGATATTTAGATAGAAATGGAGACGGACAGACAGGCAGACAGAGAGAGAGACAGAAACAGAGACAGAGAGAGTGAGAGAGAGAGAGAGAGACTGATTGTATTAGATACTTTGAATCTGTATTTTTTTGTGTCAAGTATGCATATATTGGGATTATATAAGATAGTCTTAATAGATTGTTATGTGTTCAGAGAGTTGTAAAAGGACCGTACGTGAAGCGTGTATAAATGTGCTGAGAAGTCAGGAGAAAGAGTTGTATATATCATTAACATGGAGAGTCTGCTGCATACTGTATGTGCAACAATGTTTATGTGTGTGTATGTGTACTTGTATTTAGTTGTGTGTTTGTTTTGGCTCTGTGTGTTTGTGGTTCTTATGTTTTCATGTTTGTATATGCGTATGCGTGCTCTTCTACTTATGTGTACGTACGTGTGCTCTTCTACTTATATGTGCGTGTGTTTCACTCATCATGTGTGTATGTGTGCTTGTACGCGAGGTCCAGCTGAGATGAGATATTATGATTTCATCTCCGGATCGTCCATCGGCGTCTTCCTTCCCGGGCGCCGAGTAATCGGGCAGGAGCGAGGCCAGGGAGACCGCTCGCGGCCGGCGGTCGGGCTTTTCTGCCAGGCCTTCCGCTGGGCCTTCCGCTGGGCCTTTCCGCTGGGCTGGGCCTCCGCTGGGCCTTCCGCTGGGCCTTCCGCTGGGCTTCGCTGGGCCTTCCGCTGGGCCTTCCGCTGGGCCTCCGCTGGGCCTTCCGCTGGGCCTTCCACTGGGCCTTCCGCTGGGCCTTCCGCTGGGCCTTCCGCTGGGCTTTCCACTGGGCCTTCCGCTGGGCCTTCCGCTGGGCCCTTCCGCTGGGCTTTCCGCTGGGCCTTCCGCTGGGCCTTCCGCTGGGCTTTCCGCTGGGCCTTCCTGGGCCTTCCGCTGGGCCTTCTGGGCCTTTCGGGCCTTCCGCTGGGCTTCCGCTTTCCGCTGGGCCTTTCGCTGGGCCTTCCCTGGCTTTCCACTGGGCCTTCCGCTGGGCCTTCCGCTGGGGGCCTTCGCTGGGCTTTCCGCTGGGCCTTCGCTGGGCCTGGCTGGGCCTTCCGCTGGGCCTTCCGCTGGGCCTTCCGCTGGGCCCGCTGGGCCGCTGGCTGCTGGCCTTCCGCTGGGCTGGGCCTTCCGCTGGGCTTTCCCTGGGCCTTCCCTGGGCCTTCTGGGCTTTCCGCTGGGCTTCCGCTGGGCTTTCCGCTGGGAGCTGGGCCTTCCGCTGGGCTTTCCGCTGGGCCTTCCACTGGGCCTTCCGCTGGGCCTTTCTTTCCGCTGGGCCTTCCACTGGGCCTTCCGCTGGGCTTTCCACCGCTGGGCTTCCGCTGGGCCTTCCGCTGGGCTTTCCGCTGGGCCTTCCGCTGGGCTTTCCGCTGGGCCTTCCGCTGGGGCTGGGCTTCCACTGGGCCTTCCGCTGGGCCTTCCGCTGGGCTTTCTGGGCCTTCCACTGGGCCTTCCGCTGGGCTTTCCGCTGGGCTTCCACTGGGGCCTTCCGCTGGGCCCGCTGGGCCTTCCACTGGGCCTTCCGCTGGCCTTCCGCTGGGCCTTCCCCTGGGCCTCCGCTGGGCCTTCCACTGGGCCTGGCTGGGCCTTCCGCTGGGCTTTCCGCTGGGCCTTCCGCTGGGCTTTCCGCTGGGCCTTCCACTGGGCCTTCCGCTGGGCTTCCTTCCGGGCTGGGGCCTTCCGCTTCCACTGGGCCTTTGGGCCTTCCGCTGGGCCTTCCACTGGGCTTCCGCTGGGCCTTCCGCTGGGCCTTCCGCTGGGCCTCCGCTGGGCCTTCCGCTGGGCCTTCCGCTTTCCGCTGGGCCTTCCACTGGGCCTTCCGCTGGGCTTTGGGCTTTCCACTGGGCCTTCCGCTGGGCTTTCCACTGGGCCTTTGGGCCTTCCGCTGGGCCTTCCACTGGGCCTGGGCCTTCCGCTGGGCCTTCCGCTGGGCCTTCCACTGGGCTTCCGCTGGGCCTTCCGCTGGGGCCTTCCGCTGGGCCTTCCGCTGGGCCCTTCCGCTGGGCCTCCGCTGGGCCACTGGGGCCTTTCCGCTGGGCCTTCCACTGGGCCTCCGCTGCTGGCGACTGGGCCTTCCGCTGGGCACTGGGCCCCGCTGGCGACTGGGCCCTTCCGCTGGGCTTCCCTGGGCTTCCGCTGGGCCTTGGGCTTCCACTGGGCCTTCCGCTGCCTTCCGCTGGCTTTCCACTGGGCCTTCCGCTGGGCTTTTCACTGGGCCTTCCGCTGGGCCTTCCGCTGGGCCTTCCACTGGCCTACTGGACTGGCCTTCCGCTGGGCCTTCCGCTGGCCTTCCACTGGGCCTTAACTATAAATGCGAAATGTAGGAGTATCTGTATATATATATATATATATATATTATATATATATATATATATATATATATATATATATATTATATATATACATATATGCATACATATGTGTGTGTGTGTGTGTGTGTGGTATCTGTGCGTGTGTCTGTGTGCGTGCGTGTATATGTGTGGGCGAGTGTGTGTGTGTTTGTGTGCGAGTGTGTGTGCGTGCGAGTGTGTGTGTGTGTGTGTGTGTGAGTGTGTATGGTATCTGCTTGTGTGCGTGTGTATGTGTGTGTGTGTGTGTGTGCGAGTGTGTGTGTGTGGGCATATAAGTCGAAAGCCTAAAAGTCTTCTGGAGGATAAATTCCCGAAGCGATGTTCCGAGCAGCCAAGCCTGTCCAGGGAGGAGTTACGCGAGGGACCCGCTGCGGCCGAAGCGTAAATGGCTCAT